CAGTACCTAGACCAGAGTTCTAATTTCATAAGCGTTTGAGTCAGTGCTAGCATTTAATTGAATTAACAATATCACATTTATCTTCAACATCACTGAAAACATTATTGTGGTGTAGTGAATTATTATAATATGGCCCTTCTAGTCATGGTCTTGTGACTCCCACAAAATGATTGGGTGAAACTATGCAAATAAGGTGCTTGTGGTCCACCAAGGGGATTAGACAGCCAGCTAATAATGCAAATAAGATGCATGGGACCCTTGCGGGGGGGGGGATATGCAAATAAGATACATGGAACCCTTGCAGGGGATTGGTCAGTTTTGCCATTCTGCTAGGCTTAAAGGGAGCCAATCCCAGAGGCTAGAGGGGGACCTCATTACCATCAAGGAGAAGAGCCAGGCATGGATCACATCCTTTGGACCCAGGGGCCCTGCACTGAGAATCTCCTAGACCCAGGAGAGAGACAGCAGTAACATCATAGGCGACAGCAGCACTAGACAGCAGGAACCAGGTGACCCGCCCAAGACAGCACATGGGCTTTCCATCCATGAAGCGAGGAGACTACCGTGAGCTTCCTAGCCCACGGAGTGAGAGAAATGAGAGCTTTCAGGTAGGAGGCTTCCTGGCAGAGTGGGGTGCCTCTGGGCACTTGTTGGCAGAGCTAAAGAGCTTTATAACACTTGCCCAAGAAGGGCAGAGGCCAGGGCCAAGAGAAACCTCTCCTGAGGGGCCAAGAGGAGCCTGTCCTGAGGAGATGAGAGAAGCCTGTTCTCAGGGGGCAGAGAGAAGGCCTGTCCGCAGGGGGCATGCACAGTAGAGAGAAGGGTCTGCTTGCTTGCACGGCCAAGAGGAGCTGAGAGAGCTGTCCTGTACTGCAGAAGAGCGAAATGTGCTCTGCACTTTGGGGGAGGCTTTCAGACCTTGCCTACATGCTTCCTGATCCTGATCCTGAGTTATAGTCTGTTAATCCTGATCTCGAGTTGTACTATTACTTCCTTAATAAACCACTTAACTGTAAGTAAGGTCTTTGAGATCTACATGGCCATTGCAATGGATTATTGAATCCAGAAGAGAAGTAGAGAGTACCATGGGAGGGACGGCTGGTGTCAGTATTGGTAAAAAGGTTGGAGAGTGGAGGTATGTCTGCCTTCCATCTCATAGAAATCAGTCTTGGGCTGATGTTGATCTTGATTCTTCTCCCTCCCTCCTGAAGTTAAACAAGGCCTGAAGCCACCATGCCATTTTTTCAATTATCAACTGAATCTCAGTGACACAGAAAGCCAGTAGAGCTAGAGAATGAATTTGTTCATTTCAGTAATATAACACTTACTAAGTGCTGGGATAACTAGCAAGAATACATGATCAGTGTAAAGTTTTGAATTAGAGCATGGACTCTGGACTCTATTTTCTTCTCAGACTTTCCCTCTGTCTCTATCTCTTTCACTATCTTCTCTTTTATTCCTTTTTATTTTTATTATTTCTTCTTTTTTCTGATTTCTCTTCACAAAGAAAATAGTTACGATTGGAAAACCAGCTTTGCCACTTGCAAGCTACAAGTCTAGAAATGTTTAGCTTGGAGATGTACAAGGCAGGCTAAGACTGTTACTATTTTCCAGAGCAACTAGCTGTTAGTCCACTGTGGCTACTCTGTGCCTGCTGAGTTGGCTCAGGATGATAGTCACCCCTGGAGGCTCTAGCTTCAGCCCCAGTGTTCAATATGGCTTTGTTTAAATGATTTTATATGTAAAATAGCACCCAGTGGATCAATTCCACATTTAAATATATATTAAATATATATTTAACATTTGGGCACTCCAAGTAATAGTGCTAGACTCTTCCAATGTCAATTAAACATTAGTCCACTTTCTTGATGAAGGATCAGATGTGTCAAATGGTTTTCCTATTGGAAAACTAGAGACACCCTAGTTACCGAATAAGGTTTCAGATTCCACAGATTGAAACTTTAGCAGGAAAGAGGATTTCACTAGAAAATGGTAAATTTTATTGGACTCTGCTTCTCTCGTGGAAGTAGGATTTTATTTGGGGACAGGGCTTGTGGGAAGGGTGTTAGCAAAAATGAGTCTTAAATTCACTGGGTGCTATTCTTATCCACAAGGTAAGCTTAGCATGGTAGGGCACTCTCAGATCCATGGCACTGCAGAAGGAGTTGACTGTGGCTCAGGAAATGCCTCCCAGCCTTGTTGGTCTGCTACTGGTTTCAAACCTCACCGTGCATCAGTTCTCCTCTATCTGTAAGTGCCCCTCAATTTCACATTCTGCAAACATAAATGCAAGATAGCCTGAAGGTAGGAATGGACCCCAGTACAACACTGGATGAACCCCTAACCAACACATGTTTCTATTTATTAAATATAAGTTTTCTGTGAAAGCTTGAAGTCTGGTGTAGCAAGTAATCCATGTGCAAGATCTCCATTGAAACAGTCTCATAAGGTGCAAACTACTCCAATACAAAAGCCATGCTCCAAAGTCTTGTTGCTTCATTTTTTTTAGAACAACTTGAAAGGAACTCCTGTATAGCTCCAAGGAACAGGAGCCTGAGGACTACCCAAGGCCAACTTGAGTATGTAGTGTCAGTTTCTATTCAGCTGGGCTTAGCCCTTCAAATATTCTACTACCCTTGTCTCCACATGCAAAGAGTAAGTGCTCAACAAATATTTTTTGTTGAATGAATGAATAAATTAGGCATTAATTGTACTTGTCCCAGAGATTCCGGTGACCCCATTTTCTCCCAACCCAATTGTCCTGGTACCACTTACTAGAAGCACTATCAAAAAACCTGAAATGAAATCATTTCAAATATTCCAATTTTTATCCTACACTAGTTCAGTTTCCACTGATTGTAGGAGATTAAACTCTAAGGAATTTCCAAAAGAAATAAAATTATTAAGCAAACATGCAAAAATAAGTCCTCTGTCCAGTAATCATCCCGGTTCTGGAATGAAAAGAAAATGAAAGTACCTTATCAGCTCACTCATGAAGACTGAGCCTAAAATTAAAATTTCAGACAGAACATCTGAGGTGAGTGACCCTGTTCTCATATTTAGCCATTGTTTTTACAGATTCATCACCTATCTCTGCAAACAGTAAGTTCTATGGGACTCTGTAATGATGCTGTCATTTGGACTTTTTCCATTACATAAAGATAAATAGCACTAAATATCCCACTTGCTCTTCATAAAACCACTGCTCTCTACCAATTCTTTAAAAGTAGGAATCTATATTTCCTGGCAAAGATCAAAACTCAAAGATCAAATCAAAGATTCTTAGTTGAGGTCTGGACCCTCTCACTCTCTAGGCCATATGTGAGTATATCTCAAAGGTAGTTAGGTGAGATTTATCAATGAATCTCTGGAGCCTCTAGCTGCATGCTTGTAGGTTTCTGCTTCTGATATGAAATGTGGAATTGATCCATAGAGCTGTCCTTGTATCTGGCATAATTAGGTGAGAATCAGAGTTTTCCTCCCCAGAGGAAATTCATTTTTCCCTTTCTTCCCTTCTGTATTTTTTTCTTTGCTTACACTTTCAGTTTTTCTCCTTCCTTGCCTTTTTACACCAACATAATTACTAATAGCTGTTCACTGAAATACATCACTCACAGACCTGGAAATAACTGGGAGACGAATCACATTCAGAAAGATGATTGAGTACGATTTCTGGCATGTGTCTGGCACTCAATACATGTTACTTTTGCTTTTCTTTCCTATCTGAGCTCCAGTCTACAACTCAACCACAAATATTCATCAAGTGTTTGAGCTTTATCTGTCTTTCAAATGAAGAATTATTGTGCTGCATGAAGAATTACATGTATTTTATGTAAATTTATGTTCTATTCAAAGAGTTGATAGAATAAAGATATTATTCACATATATTTTTAAAATATACACCAATTTATTAAATTTTACAGGATGCAAAACACCTATAGTGAAAAAAAAAGTTTATTTTCTAAAACTGTCAATGAAACACCTGATGTGAACGGTAGGTTTGGCAGTGATAAAATAAACCTGCTGCTTAAATTGTATTACCAACAAGTATGTGGCAATCTCATCTCCTTACTTCTTTGATTACAAAGACACAATATTAACTCTGTCCCTCTGTGGTCAGCCTTTTGTTGAAATCAGTTTTAGTTTTCATAGTTCTTTTTGTCCTACAACAGCCACATTATGATCCCACTCTGACAATCAAGGTTGCGTTCAAGGAAAACTATGAATTTTGTCTTCCACATTGTTCATTCTCCTTTCCGTCGGTAAATTCTGCCTTTTCTAGTCCAGAGCTCACGCAGCCAAGGTTAAGGGATGTACCCATCCCAGCTTTCCACACCCACTCTAACACAATCCATTTCTCATCCTCATAGAATCAAATTACCAACTAGCAATATTCATTTGCTGTTCTCAAAAAAAATTGTCCCACTTATTTCTTAATTTGGTAAACATATTGTTTCAAATTTGAAGTCAGGTAAGAAGAAGATGAAACCAAAGCTGGTCCCCCTGAGGAACTGTTTCAGAATAAAGCTTTAAGACATTCTATTCAATTTAGACTTAATACGCTACCCCCTCTTCTGCCTCCATTGGGGAAAACAAAACAAAACAAAACAAAAAAATAGCATCTGCTATGATCAATAGTATTTAGTAGCATGCACTTTTGTTTGGGCTTATGTCCTTGCCTTCTGAGAAAAACAGATATTTAAACACTAGCTCATGATGGCAAAATTAAATTATACTTTCACAAATATGAAAATGAAGCAATATCATTTGTAGCAAAACATTTAAACTTAAAAGTTTTATGTGTTTCATTATTTAATTTCTAGAAAGCAACAAAGGTAAGACTTTTCTAATGTGATCTGTATCACAACATATATATATGTATGTGTATATATATATGTGTGTGTATATATATATATATATACATATATTTTAAAAGGACTTTTTTAAAATTCCAGGAAGGTCAAAGTACTGCAAAATAATCAAGGTCTGCACATCACAGGTAAAATCTTTCAGCTGTTATTGAAACATAAGTAAAATTATACACAGAAAAAAGGTATCAGTAGAGAAAAGATGCCTTAAGAACTGTCTGTGTTTTTCAAAACTGACGGACACGAGTGAGCTCTAATATCATTCTGTTTAAAAATGGCTTCATCCAGATCCAGTTGAACACCATTGATATTCACTTCCATACAACCATTATAAAAGGCATTCACAGGTGTAGCACCGAAGGGAACATCTGTAGAAACAGAATATTAGATTATTAGTCCAAGACTTTTAGCATCTTATTTACTTACATTTAGGGGAATCATTCAGACTTCCCATTTCCAACCAAATTTTCATCCTAGAGGAAAAGTTACTAATGCAATTCTATACAATAAATATATATTAAATGACCCCTAGGTATAAAGTTGCCAACTAGTTGATTCCAACTCACGGCAACCCCTTGTGTGTCAAAGTAGAACTGTGCTCCATGGGGTTTTCAGTGGTTGATTTTTTGGAAGTAGATCACCCGGCCTTTCTTCCTAGCACCTCTGGGTGGACTAGAACTTCCAAACTTACAGTTCACAGCAAAGTATGTTAATTGAATGGAGGCAGTGGTGGTTCAGTGGTAGAATTCTCACCTTCCACGCGGAGGCTAGGGTTTGATCTCCAGGCAATGCACCTCATGCACAGCTACCACCCCTCTGTCAGTGGAGGCTTGCAACTTGCTATGATGCTGAACGTGTTCCAGCAGAGCCTACAGACTAAGAAGGACTTGAAGAAAGCCCTGACGATCTACTTCCAAAAATCAGCCAATAAATACCCTATGGATCACAACAGTCTGATCTACAAGCAATCAAGGGACTAGGAAGCGTTTCCTTCAGTTGTCCATGGGGTTTCCATGAGATGGGGTCAACTCAACTGAAGCTAACAACAAGGTACAAGGTATTGTGCTTGGCACTGGATTCAGCATATCATGACTTCCTCTGTGCCTTAGTTATCCAGTGCTACTGTTAACAGAAATACCATAAGCAGGTGGCTTTAATATGCAAAAAATTATTTTCTCACAGTTTAGGAGGCCAGAAGGTC